CATCTTTTTCCTGCTGGTGGTCTGCCAATAGCCAACTCCATTTGGGGTTCATTTTACCATGCCTCAATTTGTAAATAAGGGCATAAAATCACCTTCCTTTACAAAATGATGGTAAATTATAGTTGAAACAAGCTGTATGCTATAAGCAATATATAAAATACAGTCATGTATTGGCTATGTTCTAAAAATAATGTTTGTTATCTCTTGAACCAAGCTTCTCAGCATTCATTACATTCATTTCAGGCCCTTGAAAGGTCAAAACTTAACAACAAAACTTGATGGGACCCTGCTGGGGACTCATGCAGGTGAACCAAGCGCTCATTCAGCTTTATGCAACCTCTGACTAAGGTCAAAGGCTGCCCAGTGCTCTGCAGTCCCTGATCCCCTACTTCTGCTTTGGCTGTTGGGCATATGACCTTGCTGAATCTTGGAGACTGTTTGCCCATGACCATAGTCTTCAGTGGGTGTTCAGGATTTCATTGTCTGCTGTCTACAACATAGCTGGAAATGTCTTGTGGAGGTTATGAATTTTAATGCACCTTAATCTGCAATTTTTTTAAAAAAAATTAAAATCAAATTTTTGATCTGCAGCTTTTTGTGGAGTCAAACCCATACCAGGGGAGTGGCACACCCAAACTGAGGACACAACAGGATTACATCCTTGGGAAGAGCAACAGTGTGAGATCTTTCCTTAGACCACACTGGGACTGCCAAGTGACAGTTCAGCTGGTGAGGTGGATCAGTGCAATACCTGAATGCGTTTGGTACAAGAAAAGCTCCTGTTTGGCACTGATGAGCCAAGCATCTTTGTGTACTGCTGACCTGCAAGAGAGAGAAAATGCCTGAGAGATCCTTGGCCATTTAAGTTAAAGCAGACCTTCTTTTGGCAGAGCTGGACGCTCACTCTCTGGAGGAACAGTGGAACATTTCTACAAGGACCAACACCGCCTTTCACCTGCACATCAAGGCATTGATTCAAGGGGCTCCATTACATGGCTGGAACTCCTTATTGGAAGTACTGTCCCATTGCAAGGTATGGTTTTGACACTGCCAAAACCCATTTTCACCTCCTTTTATGGCTAAATTCGTTCCCATTTGGATAAAGAGTTAAGAGATGTGAAAGGATTTTATTCAGCTAGGCCTAACAGATGACTGTAACAGATGACTTATGCTTTGGGGTATTAAAACCCCAAAGCAGAGATGCTTTGGGAGAGGAACATTCTCCCTTTTTCTCTCCCAGTGTGACAACAGTCTTCTCAAGACAGCAAACCCTCATTTCTAAGCAATGAAACATGAGATTCAGTAAAAATGCCATGCACTTATCCTGGACTCAAATGAAGCTGTGTCCCCATGCCATGCAAAACCACAGAAAAAGAGAGAAAAATATTCTTTTACTCACTTTCCTTTGTTAAACACCGAGAAGCTAACATTGTGGGACCCTGGAGGAGAGAAAAGTAATATGCTTTATGACAGAAATCTGGAGGGCTCCATGAAGAATGCATCCTACCAAACCTTGTTCAGGCGCCCTGGGCCTGATTCTCCTCTTCGTTATACTTTCCTTACAACAGTATAACTGTGGTGATTTCAGCAGTGTGTGCAGGAACTGAACCAAATATCAGCTTAGGGAGCTTAGAGCCTTAGATTGGAGGTAGACACTATACTGTAGATACATACAGTTATGTATCTGAACCTTCAAGCTGAATTTCAGGAGCAGGATTTGCTTGACCAAGCGTAAGTGCTTTGTGTCATCTTAGATACTGTGGATCCTATCTGACCTCACTTGCCATGCTAGGAAGGTGCAGACTTCCTTCAAGACCTCCATTATCTGACACCCCACTGGAGAGCTCTTAGATACCCCAAGATATCTCAAAAGCTCAGGCTACTGTATTGCGCCATCCGTGTCTACATGAGAGCTAGATATTAATTTCTGTTTTATATATTTAACTCTGATAAGCCTTCCCAAACTGGAAGCTTGCTGCTCAAAGCCTCCAAAACAGATAAGAAGCTTCTTCAGAGTGCTTGGAAGCAAGGAAAAATGAAAGGGACCCAACCTGCTGCCAGAGAGACCGTGAATAGAAGCGAGCACCCAATTTATTCCTCTGATAAAGCAGTAAAAGTCCATCACATACAAGAAGGATTAAAGTAAAAGTCGTAAACTGTGCAAAGACCCCAAATCACATTGTTGCTATCAGCAATGTCCACATCATGTCATGGTTTCACTTGAGCACTGCATTTTGTTTTCTCCAAAGCTGTGCAGAGGACATAAATCACAGCAGTGGCTCTGTTGAAGACTGGTAAGCCTTGATCTGAAGCAGGTTTTGTGGACTCAGCCCTCAGTCACATTCCAAAGTTTCAAGACAGAACAAACTTATGATTGACACCCCCCCTCTGCCCTCTGGAGTTGCGGGTAACAAAACCCCACGCTTTTTACCCCTTTTCACCAACCTATGTGGTTCCCTTCCACTCGACACTGCAGGGTCCCCAGTCCATCTTCTGCCCGAATAGGGTAACTGTGGAGACACAAAGGACTTTGCTGAGCCTTGGGAGCAAAAAGAGCAAAATACAGTGAGAATCATCTAACCAAGAAAAGATGTGGGCTTATACATCTAAGCTAGTCACACCCAGCATCCTTTAGAAACAAGGGAGAGAAATGGGCAAGATGGGAGAGGAACAATCCATCTTCCCACTGATGATCACAGCAGCTTGGGAGGATGCCTCCCAGCAACACACAGTGCTCCAGCTTGGCCTCTTTACCCTTGTTTCCAGAAGCTGATCCTGTTGGTGACCTTCAGAACCCCCATTTGAAATAAAAGCTGAGGGGAGAGAAGTCTGGGCACATGGTGAGGGTGAATAGGAGGACAAAAGTGTTTTCCCTCTACTTGCTGCTCTGCATGTTCCTAATCTGTAAGTAGGAGCTGGTAACAATTAAACCAGATACGTTGGCATTACATCAACCTTCTGGAGCCATGGAATGATGCAAGTTCCATCATCAACTCACGTTTCCATTTAAATCCTCCTCCTGGGACCCAGGAGAAAATTTACAGTGCAATAAGAGGGCCTTCTGAGGACCCTAGGAGTCTTAGCACTAACTTTGGCAGGAGCAGGCTTTTCCCCTGGTTCCCTGTAAAAGCAATCTCCCTTTTCCAGGGCTCACAGGCATTGTGAGAAGTGCATCATTCATAAAAGAAATGCTGCTGCAGAACCCCTGGCTTTTTCTGTAATTCAGAAGGGTGCAAGAGCCAGCAGTCTAAAGGGTGTCCTGCAACTTACAGAAGACAAAGATATGTTAATACCAATAAATGAACAGTGCCAGGGCCCAGGCACCAGAATCCATCTGCCTATGCTGTTAAGTTTTTAGAGCTCTACTTGCCTCGTCTGGGCTCGGGTCAGCTAATCCATCTTTCAGATTAATGACTATGTATGACTGAAGACAACGCATCGACCAGGGTCAGTAGGCAGCTTGGAAATGGTTACCCTGTTCTGGAGTCTAAAGAGTTTAGCAGATGTGGCCAGGGCATACATAGTATATCACTTCAGGGACAGAGAACAGCCCCTGGCCCTGCCTGGTTATGGTTACAGTAACAGGGAGCCAGCAGCCCTCACCCACCCCTGTCACAGACCACATGGTCAGCTCCCCATGGTCCCCCTCCATCTTAAGCCAAATCAGAAAACCTCTCCAAAAGCCAAGAAAATTTTTGTGCACAAGCTGTGCTGAGCCCTTGCACCAACACAAACCAAAGGCAAGTCAAGAACTGACATGTTTCCAGCTCGCCTGTCAGCAAAAGAGCAGAGACTGGTCCATCCATCTCCTTCCGCCACAAGGATAGCTGGTCTAGGCAAAAAAACAGAAAGGATGAGATACGATACAACAAAGTTTCATGAATGAAATCCTGATCCTGTTAAAATCAGCAGCAAATATTTTCAAATGGGACAGGAATTTCCCCTCACTTTTATCTAGCATTTATTCACCTCCTAGAAAATTGGACGACCCCTAATCTCTCATACCTTCAGCTGCAAAGTACATTCCCCAAATACCGCAGGAACTGCACCCCTGTAAAGTTTGTGGCAGGACCACCCCAGCTAGCTCTGAACAACCTGATGCCTCCTCTCTGTAGTGAAGGGTTGGTCATCTGAGCCCCAGGAGGACCATACTCACCCTTGCCTTCCAGAAGCAGCAGGCAGTGCAAGTAGAGCATCATGCTCGTACAGCCATGCTGCTTCAAGATGCAGCTCTTTAATTCACTAGGAGAAGACACCACAAACAACCTCTGCTAGGAATCATCCAAGCTCCTAATAGCAAATCCAAGCATTGCACCTTAAAGAACCAATATGGCAAGAGACAGCTTCCACAAGAGAGGAGAAATCAGATCACAGAATGGCAAGGGTTGGAAGGGACCTCGGGAGGTCATCTAGTCCAACCCTCCTGCTAAAGCAGCAATAAATTCACAATGATTAGCATAAGAAGCAAAGGGTGGCAATGATTCTTTGAAAATTAACAGGCAATTAAGGAAAATATGTAATTAAAACTTGTAATGCAAACATTTCGCTATGACCCATGCTTCAGAGTGTAGTTTTATGAGGTTTTATTAAAGAGTTTGCTTTTATTAATACAGCTTGCTGATATTGAGATGCCTTTCCTTGTAAGGATAAATAGAAAAAAACTCAGAGTTGCAAAATATTTGGTTCAGCATCAGTGGACAATTGCATCCCCTACAAAGCAAAGCAAAGGGTGCAGAAGACACCTGAAAATATAAAAACAGTTCTCTTTTTTTGCTCCAAATCCTGAACGGGTGTGACTGAGTGACAGACTGCTCTGGTCAAGTCCAAGTTCCCACCTGGTACATATTTACTAACACACTAAAAATGGGCAAAGTATTCATATGGAGCTACAATGCGAACCTGTCTGGTATGCTAAGATTTTGAGGTCATTTCCTCTTTGGTGCTCATGAGGTTAAGCTGTAAATGGGTAATCCAGCAGTGGAGCACGTCCAACCTGCAGTCAGACAGACCAGCCTTTCTTCCCACTGATCAAAGGTTTCGCAGATCCACTAGAGGCAGGTAAACCAGTAATGAATGTTGAACAAAGGATACTAATGTGCATCCAGTGAGCAAAAATGTAGGGCTGATAAAGGGGCGCAGCTGGTACGGCAGGAATCTGCACCGGACTTTCATTCACGCTAGCAGATAATTTAGTTACTTAGCAAGGGACATGTCCATTCAGCCTGAGAAGTAAAGTAAAACTTCTAACTATGGAGACCACACACCTTCCCTGGCTCCTGAAATGATTCCTAAAATGCCAGCACAGCAACTATAGATTGTCTTTAAAATACTCGCCTAGGCTTAGTTCTTCCTTGCCATTGACACGAGTACAAGGAAATGATAACTCAGTAATATCTGTGAACACTTCCATATGTATGGAAATACATTTGGCAGACAGCAGGTCCGTGTTCATGCTCATTTTGGATTTGCTGTGCTTAAGGAACTGCTGTCCTGAAGTAAATTTTTTAAATCTACCTGCCTCGTTCTGTTGCATGTAACCATAGAAGCAGCAGAAAATAAAAGTCAAACATTCCTTGAGAAGAAGGGACTGACCAGAGACGGTTTAAAGCAGTGAACAAAAAAGCCTTTTGTCTCAAAATACTTCTGCTTTGTCTTCTGGCTCACCAGAGCATCTGCTTCAAACTAATAGTTTTTCTAAAAATGCAAATGGAAGGGAAAATTTATTTAACTTTTAGATTCTGACATTATTTTAATTAGTTAAATTTTAATTTGCTAGCCAAAATAAAATCTACAGCAACCAGACGCAATTACAGTACAATTCACACTGAGCTGTGATTGACTGTGCTGCCAGTAAACAAACCAACTAGCTTAATGGACCAGTTGCAATTAGATTAACAAAGTTTGCTGGAGCCCAACTCATGAGCTGCAATAAACCACAAAGGAAGTAAATGGCAATTCTGGGCCAACTGGTTGCAATTTATTGCTGTCAAGGAGGCTGATGGAAGAAACACCAATTTACAGGGGCTGGGTCAGATAGCAGCCTATATATAATTACCCATCAATATAATCCACGTTGAAGTCCAGAGTCTCATATCTTCCAGCAATTGTCTTCCCATAGATCTCTATTAAATTTCCTGTTTACAAGGATTGAAGAAATTGAAGAGCATCTTTTAAAATCAGAGAATTTGTATTGGCAGGTTTTGTGAGCTGAACAAAAGAAATTCTCGGTCTTTGCAAATTTTGCAGAGTGGTACCCAACTGCCTGCACTGGTGTCTACTCTCAGCTTCTACCATAGTTCAAGGTGACTTGGCACTTAATTCACTTTTCCCAAAACGCATGTCTTTTTTTCCCCACAAAAGAAGTCCATGCCTGATTTTTGAGCAAATCTCCAGTACTGAGAAGACACTTCCCTCAACTCTTTTGTTAACTAAACCCCCATGTAGAACCTCATGAGCCAGCCAAGATGACACCATTTGTACACTAGACAGGATCAGGGTCTAAAGAAAGACCTCAGCATCTATGTGGCTGGTTGAATCACTCCCAACCCTCCCTTGACCATACTGGGTGACAGCTTGGCTCAGTTACCTGCACACAGATGTCTTAAACCATTTGATGCACCCTATCCTCCCACTGTGGCTCCAGAAGAGAATGAGTCTTCCTGGTCCTGTGCCATATCTACCTGCTCCACGCAGCTCCTTCATGCTCCAGGACATCTCAATTAACACTAGACACTTAGTGTCACTCATACGTTCTTCACTGATTACACCAGGAGGTCAAACATCCAGCTAACACACAGAAACCTCTTTACAGACACCCTAAAGCAAGGCATGAAAACCTGGAGCTGAACTGCACCTGAAAATAATTGGAAATGAGGGATAGACTTAAATTTAGAGCATCTATGTGCTCTAATCATCCAAGTACCTCTCTGCACTCTTGAGACACCAAAATGTTTTGATTAATCTTGACTTTAGAAAAATTTGAAATGCTGATTTCCAAAGAAGCCTGCAAATACAAACAGAATAGAAGTGTGGGGAGAAAGTCTTCCATACGCCAGTTAACTGTTCAGACCAAAACCAGTGACCAGCTTCTCATGAAATTTTAAAGTCTGATCTAAAGCCTCATTAACCAAAAGGTCTGTACAGCATTACAATATCATGACCTAACAGCAAATTCTTCTTAAAACTATTGCTAAATAAATAGGGCCAGATGAATCAAGAGTTGAGACTGATTAGACTTATCCATCTGCTCAGGCAGAGTTGGGCTGCAGAAGCTAAGTACAGAATAAATAATAATAATAATAATAATAATAATAATATCAACATCATCAATAATAATTCAAGACCAGGTTGGATGGGGCTCTGAGCAACCTGATCTGGTTAAAGGTGTCCCTGCTCCCTGCAGGTATGTTGGACTAGATGACCTCTAGGGGTCCCTTCCAACCCAAAATATTCTATGATTCTATCCGGCCCCTGTGCATTACCCACTTCTCTTGTACCCCGTGCTGCAGACTCTCTCCCCTTGTGCAAACGCATTTTCCTGTTCAGCATGAGCTTGGACATTAAGTTCTGGAGGTGCCCATTTTAATCCCCAGCAAGACAGATCCCTCATAAGGAGAAAGACAGTATGGAACATCAAATAATAATTAAAGTGGGCTCCAGCTTAAAGAAAGGTCCTGTACCTGGGATGCCAGATGGTGGACTAATTTGGCGAACCACAGGTGTCTGCACAGCAGAGAACTGCAAAGAGAAATTTGTAGTTAAATGGCAGTCGTTTTCACAGCAGCCCAATGAGATCTGATTACGCATTGCTCACAACACAGTTGGCAACCGCATTTCAGAGACTCACTTCAGGATTCGATCTTTGAAGTGGAGTCCTGCTCCGCGAAGGGAGCAAGGAGAATGTCCCCTTCTTGCCCCCCTCTGGACTCAGAGTATGGCTTATGGCTATTTCTGCATCCTCTTTGTGCCCAAACTGTCCACCCTGCCTTGAGTCAATTCCAGAAGATATGGTTTAACGCACTATAAAACTTCTAAACCATGCTTTATCTGAAGGCGAGACCTCCATTTTATCTGGCACCATTTTTCTTCCCAGTAATATACTCTTAAAAACTATTTCTACATCACAGAAGTGAAATACTTCAGCTAGCCTTTAGCAAGCTCGTTGAGTACCCTAAAGCAGAGTAGCAAAGAAAAGGCTTGCATTGGCCCATCTTAATGCACTATAATATATCAGAGGTGTCTTTGGGAAAGCCCTGCCTTGCCCTCTGAGGAAACAGCAAGGAAATACTAGAAATCTGCTATGGGCTTCTATTTTGACTTAAACAGAGTCCAAGAAGAAACAGAAAGATTGTGCTTTGAGGCAAGCCTCTCAGAAGATGGGGGACAGGGACTCTTTCCAAGTGGAGGGTCATCACCAGCCTCCCAAAGTAGCTGAGAGACAGGGATATCTGACCTGGCACATGCTTTGGCTTCATTTTCAATCAGTAGAACAGTCCTATTTCCCTTTTTCTACAGCTGACTGAATCCTGTGAGACTTTTTTTTAACCAAAACTACTCTAGAAACGTGTTGCTGATCCTGTGCAAATGGTGTTGTGTGGGGGAGCACTACTCATCAGCTGAGTGGCCTCTACACACTGTTAGCTCACATGGAACCAGTGTTTTCTGTAAATGTCCCTGTCTGGAAGATGGCAAACTCAACCGGACAAATAAATTTATAGCTTCGGCAGTGAAAAAGTACTGGAGCATCTGGATCCCAGTACTAAAGGAAATAAAAAGGCAGTCGAAACTCTTTGGATTTGTTAAAAAAATTCCTGCTCTGATTAAGGAGTTGTCTCCAGCACATTAGGTATTATCCAGTGCTGGGTTAGCTGAGTATCATCCTGTGACAAGCTGGTGGAGCTGAGACGGCGTAGCCTGGTGGGAACATACATGGACAGGCAATGAAACAGATCTGGATGCCTTGGGAAGGCCACAAGGAGAGTTATGGAGAGGGAAGGTGCGCTCTTGGACTATGGCCATATGAGTAAATAAAATAACTTGGAACCTGCCATTTGGCCCAGGGAACAGCATGGCTTATATCCATGTAGGGAAGGTCTTCCCCGACACCAAAAAGAAGGTGGCCTGATCCCCGCTGTCTAATGGGAGCAAATTTGCCATCACCCAAGGCAGAAAAACCTGCACCAAGGAGCTGGGTGATCGCAGGTAGTGCTGGAGACTGCATCCTGGCCCTGCCTCACTGACTAATACAGGCACAGCCTTGCATTTTGCTGGGAGATCTTGGCAAACCATGTCAGTTCTTTATTCCTCAGATATCTGCTTTGAAGAATAAGAGTATTGTCATCGTCTTTCCCCAGTGCCGCATTCTGCACTCTGGAAATGAAAATCATTATGTGAAAACCAAGGGTCAGATCCATCAAGGTATTTAGGCATCTTGGGCTTAAGGCACCTGGCTTGTTCAGATTTTATAAAATCTATTTGTCTCTCTGCTTTCTTAGGAGCTACAAATACCTCCTTAAATCTGGCCTGCAGTACTGCTAGCTGGCTAAATCCTGTTTCCATCTAAGTCATTAGCTGCTCGATTTCATTAACCTTACAGAAAAAGTACATTTCCCGTGTGTCCCCATTCCCCAAATGGCCCATTTCTCAGAGCCTTCTCTATACATCTCCATCTTCCCCACCTTCTTTGAGACCTCTCATGTCCTCACTTGCACTTACAGATGCTGCTGTCAGCCCAGTAGATAGCTTAAAAAACTCATTTGCAGAATCATATCAAGGACAGCAATGCATATGTTATTTTTTTTCCCAAGCTTTCCTTGAACCCCACTCCCTTTCAAAGCTCAGTCCTTGCCTTCCCTCTTCCTCATGGCCATGTTAAAAATGTAGCCACAAACTCCCTCCAGCGATGGCCACTTTTCAGAAGCAAAGGCAACACCATACCATACCCTAGGCTGGAGCTGATGCGGAGAAAGAAGCCAAAAACCACACAAAAACTAGGGCCCCTAGCTGACACAAGTCTTCCAAGCTGTTCAGACTTGTTGCTGCCTGCAGCAGGCTTTTTCAATCTACTGTGGAGGCAAAATTAATTTTTAATACACATAGCTCCCAGGTCCCAGTCCCAAAACAAAGAGACACATTGTGTTTTATTTAGCTTGGAATGTGCCTCATTAACAGCATCCCCTGGTGATTTTTCATCAACTCTCTAAGCTAGCTGAACCACCCAACGACTCTTCAGCTTTAATGTGCAATTTACTGAAAGCGCTGGGCTTTCTTGCTCGACACTCAAAAGTTAGAACAGAGGTGGGACGTGACTTCTGAAAACACCAGGCCTCATCCCGAAGCATGCAGCCATGGTTAAGGATTCTGCTCTGCAAGAGATCCTACCATCATCGTCATTAAGTGGTCTAATACCACCATACCCCACAACCTCCTGGGACAATGTGCTTTGACATTGGGAGTCAAAGGGAAAATGCTGGTCTAGAAGGGAGTAGCAAGCTCTCAAAATAACTGAGCCATAGATACGAAATCACAACTGAGGTTTGAGCTTTCCAAATCTTGCTCATCTTAGGTGTGGAGAGATGTCCTAGACCTGAAGAGATGTCCTTCCCTAGAACCAGCTGTGCCCATGGGAGGTATTCTTGCCCATGGTTACCTGTCAGCGCAGAATGTTAGCTCCCACCCTGCAGCTTGGAGGGTAACACCCGAAGCCAGCATAGGGTCTTCTGACACAATAGGGTCTTCTGACTGCGTGGCTTGAGTGCAGAGACAGATTAACCTGGACTCAGATTTTTGATTCAGAAAGACCTCTTCGGTCACCTAGCCTAGCCGGTTCCAGACTGCTGAGAACCTTGATGTTTTAAGGGACAGAAGGAACATCCTAACTTCTTGTCCTGACATGCAATCAGACATAGAGTATGAGACACGATATTTCAACATACTCTCTGTGATACTAAGGCTGAAGTTTGACTCCCTTCAATACCTTGAATTCTTTATCATCACTTCCATCCTTGCTTGGTGGTTACCTTGAAAGTACAGTTTTCTTTCTCCACCTCAGTCGAGTTGTTAATTACACGTCCTTTAAAGATGACCTCCACATAGTACAAACCCTCCTGGGATGAAGACCTAGGTGGAAGAAAATATGTTATATAATTTTTATACAGATTGGGTTTATTTTTTTAGGAAATGCCAGGTCCTTCACAGGGTCTCCATTCTTAGCAGGTCCACTGAGGCTTCAATAGAGGAAAAAAAAATTTATGCTGTGAACCCAAGCTTTACACATATAAACCCAAACTACAATTTAAAAGAAATGTGGAGGCACAGCAAGACATTACAGTTAAGAGCAGAAGGTGGTTGGACTATATCAGAACTCTGTTCGAATTGTACGTTAATGCAAAACACAGACATGCTCATTAGTGTTCATTAATACTAATGAATAATTGTTATTCATTAGTATTACAATAACCCAGGGCTGCCTGGATTTACAGGGCATCTTGATCCTGGATTGTAAATTAACACTGCATCCTTAATGCACAGTTTCTCAGCACAGCATTCAGCAGAATTAACTCTCAAATGAATCACAGCAGCAAGAGATGGAAGAGCCCCATTAGGGTCCCTCTTACAGCCTCTTGAGCCACCCTTAGTCTTCCAGTGAAACAATCTTCTTTAAAGTTATCACAGGCTGGGAGAAAGGGAGCTTAGGTTTCCCAGTTGGTGCTTGAAACCATATTTGTTTCTCATCCCACCCATAACTGCTCTCTATGATCTTGGACAGGTCAAAGACACCAGAAACTGGTTAAAAAAACCGAAAAACAACATTTTCTTGGGAGTATTGCATCTAAGAATTAGATGTCTGCAAACCTTTGAGGATCTGCGTCTAGCCTCTCCAAGAAACCTCACTCTGACTCTCGTGCTAGATAGCCTAATGCTTCATTAAGTTGAAGCAAGGATAAATGCAACACGGCTTAGGAGGTGCTGAGGTGCAGCCACTGTAGCAGGCGTAGGAATTTCTTAAATTCCCAAATTGTCTGTGCAGACACTGAAAGAAAATGAGGAACCTACCAGACAAATGGCAAGGTCTCACCCATACTATAGTGTCATAGATCATACCTTGTTCTGCATCTTATGGTGGGTAAGTCAAAATGCAGAGGAGAGACATCACAAGGCAACCTGGGCAGGTCTGGATTCACCAGGGACACCTCCAGCTGGGACATGCTGGCTGAAGACACACGTTCTAGCTGGTGGGATGTTGAGCCTAGGAAATCAAAGTCAACCAGAAGAGCTCTGTGAGGACAGGATCATTCACATTCAGTCACACGTGACAAATATTTTTGAATGTGCAGCCCAGCTTCTCTTTAGGAGTAATGGTCAGAGCCCTTAATCAGGCTTTTTTAAATCACATTTTTGTAATGTCATATTGTTGTGGTTTAACCCCAGCTGGCAACTAAGGACCACACAGCTGCTCACTCCCTGCCAATGGGATGGGGGAGAAAATCAGAAGGATAAAAGGGAAAAAACTCATGGGTTGAGATAAAAACAGTTTCATAATTAAAAAGAAAAATAATAATAAAAAAAAATAAGGAAAAGAGAAGAAAATAACAAAGGGAGTGGAAAATAAAACCCAAGAGAGACAAGCAATGCAAATTAAAACCATTGCTCACCACCAACCAACCGATGCCCAGCCAGTCCCTGAGCAGTGACCTCCCCACCAACCTCCCTCCCACTTTATTGCTGAGCGTGACGTCATATGGTATTGAATATCCCTGTGGTCAGCTGGGGGCAGCTGTCCTGGCTGTGTCCCCTCCCAGTTTCCTGTGCACCTCCAACCTACTCGATGGCGGGCAGAGCAAGAAGCAGAAAAGGCCAAATCCAAAGCAGAGCACCATACAAGCAACTATGAAGAAATTTAACTCTATCCTAGCCAAAACGAGGACACATATTAAAACCAAGTTCATCCCACCATGCAGTTGCACAGCTTTTTTTGCCTCTAATACAATAGTTGATCTCTCCCACATGTATTCTACTGCAGAGACTGACAGTTTTTAGGAGTTTGAATCACCTCAGCCATCTACACTGGAAAAACATACCATGCCCATAGATACTCAAAGCACCTGCAAAATTAGTATGATTTGACACGGTCTTTGCAATTGCTGATGTCTTGCGTAGTTTTGCTGACAGGACCTCAAGTTGGCCTGTGCTGTAAGGTGGATCTCCTTAGCCTGTTTCTTTGAAGTGAGCTGTCCAAAGGATCAAAGGCTTTTAATCTTCAGAAAGTCAAGTTTTATCTGAACATAAACCAGCATGCTTAAATTCTGTAGCATAATCAAATACAACCAGAAATGAAGAAGGCTTACAAACAACTCTCCCTTTGCTCACGATCTTCACGGGTGGTTCCCAGCCCACAGACTCACTTTAAATGACATCAGTGGTTTCTTGATTTGCAGAAAACTGCACCTTTCCTCCTGGTCCCAGGAAGGTTTTCCCCCTTCTCCCAAGGCCTGACTGTCTGCTGCCCCCCAGATAAAACCGCTCTGCTTGAATGGTGAGCTCCCAGCTGTGACTGACTCTGCTCAACACAGAGTGCTGTTGGGGAAACATCTCCCTTGAAGACCTGAGGTTCCTTTCTTCCATCCCTCCATTTCCTCATGTCTATGGGAACGCACAATATTCAGACAAACGAGACTTACACCATTCATCATAGTTATAAATGACAGTGTCAGAACTTGAGGAGCTAAACCGAACATACAATGGTCCCAGAAACCAACCCTCTTCCCAATAAATCAATATTCAGCACAGCTGAAAATCAGGCCCAGCTTTGTATAGTTTGTTTGGGGCCCAAATGAGCATGGCATATCAATTTCTGTGATTTTTGCTTGTATCTCATGCTTATCATTAATGTTCTTAAAGCTCCAGCACCAGAGGACCTGTGAAAAGAAGAGACTCTCAGCTTTCCTTCAAAAGAAGGGTGGCAGGGAAGAAATTTTTAGCCCTACAGGGTCTACAAAAATAAGGTAGAAATCTGACTTTGCTTGCTTAGAAAGAACTTAAAAACAAGAAACCATCACCAATTGCTTATGTTGCAATAATTTCAAGCCAATTTCATGGTATGGGTGCCACAGCCTATATATCTGTCACTTAGGGTTTGTCACTACAACCACAAATCTCAGAATGGAGTTGATTCTCTGTCCCTTTGACATGTGCATTATAAGAGTTTAATACTCACCATCCAGGGTAATAGTAATCCATGTTCCTCCAGCAACGCTACCCTCTCGGGGCTTAATGAGCAATCCTGTGGCTGTCACTGCAAAAACAACCCAGCAACATCAGGCTGAAGTGTAATGCGAGCATCTAAAATATCTCATTCAGTAGTTGTCTGACAGCTGTCCTCCTGTGATCCCACCCTTCATCTCATTTCTCCTTCTCAGGCATCCAAATTAGTTGTATTGCTTACCCTTTTTCCCCCAACCATCTCCCCTATGTAACAGTCCTGCTTCTCCTGTGGGCGGGTGATGCCTTCAGAACTTGATGAACCAAGCTACAGTCTGAGTCTCCTGTCCTCCTCAAGAATTAAAATTAAGACAATAAATCTCATTTTTATTCCTCCTACTCTCAAAGAAATGTTTTTGCCAGCTTCCATACATTCTCCCAAACTTAGTGCTGCCCACTGATTATATCTTCTTCTGGCTCCAAGACAGCCTGTCCAGCTCTTTCTTGGCAAAGTCCTTAGGAAAGAAACACAAGCTTAGAAAGGAACTATTGCCTTGTGAAATTAAGTCACCTGTAACTTCCTATAAAATGCCTTTCATAATGGCATCAAAACCTTAAATAATTTAGGATTTATTTTGGGGAGCCTCATCCACTGAAGCTAATAGAGATGAACCAATTGGCTGGCTTCTTTGTAGCCAGATATCAGCGTTTGCCAGAAGTCCTTTTACAGTGATAACCAGTTTCCTGTTTAACATTTCAGATTTCCAGCTTCTTAGCTGCGTGTGAATACAAAGTCACTGAACACCAGTATTGATCACTGAAGCCAAATATTGGACATACTTGCATCATGAACCCTTAATAACAACATGCAAGCAGTGATATGACTGTCACCAAATGAATGAAAACCAACAAGCATGAGATGAACCCAGGTAGAACTGGGAAAATTAACAATGAATCCAGAAATCTTCACTGACTATGGAAATGATGCCATGAAAAACCACTGATAAGGGTGGACAATGGCCAGCATGCTGCAGACAATATCCCATAATATTCAACATCTTTTAGAGATGCTTCTTCTCTCACTCACAGTCTGTCTGTATCCAACCCAGTGGCACTGGATTTTGCTGGTGGTGTATGACCAGTGTTGTTGAAGACAACACCTCTCTCTCACCCACCTGCAAAGAATATCAGCTCAGCACTCAGGAAGGATGGTCTCCAAAGGTTCATCTTGGACTTTGCATGGGGATTTCACAAGAGACTGGCTCCAGGATCATGGCTTGGGGCCTTAGCACCTTCCCAGTAACTTTGAAACAAGCCCCTTCTGTATTCTTTCTTCTCACTGCAGACCTGTGGGAGCAATGGTCTGTGTTACAGCAGATGAGATGGACTGCAATGTGGAGTCACAGAGAAAACACTGGTTCATCTCTCACACAGTATAAAGGATCAGTATACTGCAAACCATACTCTTTTTCCTTCCACCCTACATAGAACATGCGCCCCCTCAAGCAGATGACTTTCCAGCCAAGCTCAGGATGAGCTTTCCTCCACTGGGGCCATGTTTCATGAAGACTGACTTGGATTAAGTGGTAAGCACAAGTGAATTGGTGAAAGCAATTACAGGATTTAGAGCTGATGGCGTTACACTCTCCTAGCTCTGGGCTGCTTTGTGCAAAATGGATACATCTGTTACACCAAACTAAATCATGCCATGGTCATTCTCCAGCTCTGAAAGCCAATGACTTGACTAAGCTATTAGGCTCTCTAGCCTTCCACAGCTAGCTCCAAACTAGGAATGGCCCATGCTGGCTCGTGCAGATGTGCTTGGGAATTGCTTGGAAGAGCACTGGTAGACTTGATCACAACAGTGCTGGGAATTGTTCTAAGAATAGAAACATCTGAGGCCCTGTAGTCTGGGAAGTTCCTTGGTCTTACCTGCTATCATAGCCAGTCATATCACACATTCCCTTCATAAAGTCCGTGCCAGGAACTGTTTCAACATTTAAAAATATAGACCATCCACTTCACTGCCTTCATCCTGGGTTTTGTATTGGTACGTAAACAACCGTGTCTCAATTAATTTAGCCACATTTTAAATGGGCAAGAACCTCAAATTCTCACCAGTGAGCACAGAGACTGGGACACCCTTACCCAGAACAGCCCTTGGTTGTTAAAACTCAGTTCAGACCACAAAGGCCCCAGGCATAAACATAAAATCAAATGGCAAGAAGATAATTTAGTTTTGGTTTTATGCTCAGATCTAAAGGGCAAAAATCACAATCTCTGTATGAGGCACTGTATAATCTGCAATTCTCAAAGGGACAATCCATGTCCCCTACACAGAAGAGCAAAATGATGCAAAGACCCAGCCTTGTTCCACCCGTCAGTTGGTGAAAAAAGGACAATAACAGAGCTCAGCTTTCTTAAGGCCCAGTTCCCCTGCAGGATGATGGTACCAAGAGCTCATGTGTTCTTCCATGTAGTGGTCTTGCTCCATTCACTACGTACACTGCACTGATTCAAGCCCTCTTCTACATTGGTGAGTGTCTGACAGATCACCTGCGAAAGCCACAACAACTGTCTGCCTTGCTGGCTTCTGTAAATGTCCGTAAGACCCACCAAAATGAAGCCAACTGTGTTGATTAACAGCTACATTACAGAAAACAACACTGTTCAAAGAAAAAAAAAAAGGGTCTGGTTCTTTGCTACAGTGGTTTGGAACACATGATGATTTAAGTAATTTTTAAAAGGATTGACACATGCAGAGAAATGATCTCTGGTCTATAGGCACAAAGTGCTCTTGAACACTGATTGGAAGATGTGGTCAACTTGTGTCCAAGGGTGCTGGATATTGTTGGAACATTGCACGTTCCTTACTTAAGAGAAAGGGGAGGGAAGGGAATTTGATTCTCTGCTCCTGTTTCTTTCTGACCAGCCTTTGCCAGGTAACGCAGTAAGGGGTTTCAAGGCAGTTGGTGAAAGGTTGGAGAAGAGTTCTCCAAGCACTTAGGAACACCCAATACTTATCTGGTAATTGGTATATTTTTGATAGCAATATATTGACCTCATGGGAAAGGGGGGGAATGAATGGAGAACAGAAATAACTGCTCAGGACTGGGCAGCAAAGCCCAGTGATAATGGCAGAAGAGGACAAAATCTGGAATAAAGCCGCATCCATCCAATAAAAGCAGATGCGCAGAGCAAAACAACCGGTGTTGAAGACCCAACATCCACACTGCAAGCATTTGGGGATATTACACACAGCACTAGCTCTAGCGCTAGTCCTAAGGACTGAACATCCATTAATGGCTGGAGTGGGTTTTGGTGCATATCTGTGTTTGAATTTATCCAGAAGGATTGACATCTGTTCACTGAGACAGTCCTGTGGTGTGAAACAAACCACCTTAGCTGGTGATGAGAAGACTTGCTGCAGAAGTGCACTCCTGGTCTAAAATGAACACCAAAGGAGATACCGTGGAGCCTCTTAAAGCACCTCTCCCTCCCTTAGGAGCGGGGACTTTTTTGCGACATTAAAGCAGAACACAATGCATCCATAGAGGGTGTTTGAGAAACAAAGTCTGCTGGTTGGTCCTCCAGAAAAGGCAAACCTTACAGCAAAACTGGTAGTTTTCCACATGCTTCCTCCCCTATTGCTATTACCATAAATGAGGTTTTAGGATCAACCAAATATTATACGTCACGGTCATGAATTCTCAAAAAAAAAACCTCCTCAGAGCTGCTGGGTGAAAGCAGAGATACACAGGGCTGCACGGTGGAAGAAACGTGGGTTAGCACCCTACAAAAGATGCAACAGAAGAGCAACACTCTTGGAGGGGAGAGCTGGGCAGAAGCTTTAGTTAGCCCATAACTATGGCAAACACGCTGTCCCCATAAAGCCAACTTCTAAGCTTCTACTTCTTATTGTACCACCAGACTTACTGTAAACACTCTCCCTATGTTTCTTGCTCATTTTAACATAACTGCAATTTGTAGGGATCAGAGTCCAGAGCCCCGATGCATGTGAACCTTGTATTTCAAAACAGGTGCCTAAAAGATTATCCCAAGTTTACTCTTATTATTCTTATTAGGACTTTTTCTGGTATTAATTACCTTAATCAATTTGTTCTTCTTCCATTCCTCCAATAAGCAAAGTGCAGAGGCTCCGATATCAGCTCCATCCCTTTGATGCCAGCTCTACTGCAATTTTCAGTCTGAGGTCGTGTTCGGCACCCGGTTCAGTCCCTGGGTGGGTAACTGAGTCACAGCATGCTGGAACCCACCAGACTAGTTTCTCAAAAGGCTCAATGCCTGTCACAGACAGCTCAGAGCCGTCCATTGGGCATGCTTAATTATTAACCTAAGCTACTTGCTGCTATTAACTGTTTTGTTCCAGGTCTTTAATGACCATAACGGGAGTAACCTGGAATTGTTCTTCCATTGATATAGGACTAGATCCTCCAGCAGGAGGATAATGAATCCATTTTATCCTCCTCTTTGCACAGAACATGACAGAAAAACTGACTTGTTTCTTTATATGCTGATATCTAATCTGGGAGTGACTTTCACAGCAAGTAGACTTCAAGGCTTCCTTATATACTTTCAATTCAATTTTCCCATGACATTCCCAACAGTGTCTGCATTTCTGACCAAATTGCGTTCAGACTGCCTACCACATCTCAAGTACCTACACCCCTGCAGGTCCTTATACAGTCAGTGGTGGAAAAGAGTGAGGTGGCCTTATGTAATCATTCACCCCATGGAGAACCATGTGGCTCCATGGGCTGCAGGGAAGACCCAGTTCAACACACATCAGGTGCTGAATACCTCTGTGAGCATCACCCCTACTCCCACCTCTGCACCCATCTATTTGAAGCCCAAATGTTTTTTGATGGAGCCACCAGAAACATGATGGGTTGCTAAGCCCCTGCACTGGTATGGATGCCTTCATGGAAGTTTCCACTGAAATTCAGAGGAAGCTCTCAGGCACCGCAGCACAACCACAGCTTAATGAGTTACCATGCACCAGTCAAACAACAGCACTATGTATGCATGCTCTTACCTCATCCCCAAAGGGAGGTGAAACAGGCTTGCTTGTTCCTCCTCAGCCTCAATTCAGAGACACAGTGGCACAAAGTCATGGGCAATCAACCTTCGGGGAAGTTCTGGAGCTCTGCCCAGCTATGGAACCAGTTGTGTTTGGTTTATTCTTAGGCCAACCCCAATGCCTCAGCTGCATATAGCCAATGATTACAGGAATCCAACAAAAGTTAACCCTGTCCTGCTCAGGAGTCTATACTGTTTACTTATTAGCTGGAATTACGCTGGAAACATGGTCAGAAGAGCAAAACTGCGGGGGGAGGGGGAAGTATTGCCAAAGAAGAGACAGTTCAATGATAACTTGAACACAGCAAACAGAGCCAGATGTTGGTAAGAGGGTCTACTGACAGCCCCAAATGAGGGGATGAACCAGGCCCAGGGTCCCCCTGGGGAGCACCCCCAGGAGCAAGAGGAAACATGGCTGGAGGCTCAACTAAAACATGGGCCCATAATCCAGCAAGAAGGCAGAACTACAGATGGGACTGAAGACCAGCACTCCTACAGCATAGCTCAGGAAGGGACTATAGGCCCAAACTGGTGGTTAAATGGGGCCCCAACCCATGGGCAAGGTGTGGATGGTTGCCCCAGGTGAGGCTGATCAGGGCCATTAAGGCTTATTGCTGCCCTCAGGGCCCTGATATTTCTGCTCCTGACATAGTCACTCAAACTCTCTAGATCATAGTGAGCGAAAAAATGAGTTATCACCTCTATCATTCTGTATAGCATTTGGTAATCCAATCCCAAGGAAATGCTTTATATAGGAAATTCTCAACCAAATGTCCTAGGTTCACAGATCCAGAGGATTTGACAGGGTTGAGGGGTTTGTTCTTTGCAAAAAGAAGGTAAGACACTGCATAGGGAACCATCTCTCTGAAGGAGTTGAAATGTGAAAAGAAAGAGGGAAGCTGGTGAAAAACATTGTCCTGCATGACCAGAAACAGAGACCCGTAATTCAGACCAGGAGAGGAATGGTCGACTCACACAGGGGTCTTGTTATATGAAGTGTAAATACTCTCCCACTACAAGCTGGTGACCATGTTTAGGTATGATTTTCCACCAAACAGGAAAGCAGTATGGTTTGATGAGTAAGTGCACATTTCTGTATGCATGCAAGAAATTTTTTTTTTCTACTG